GCCGAAAAGTAGCAGATGCCAATAGTCTTTCAACGCTCTTTGAGAGCATCAGCGATTTTGGCATATCCGGGCCTTCCTGAAGGTCCTCTTGGATGCCTCCTGGGCCGTCTTGGAGGCATCTTGAGGTCTCTTGGGTGCCTCTTGGGCCCTCTTGGACCGTTTTGGAGGCTACTTGGGCGGACTTGAAGGCATCTTGAACCCTCTTGGGCCGTCTTGGAGGCCATCGGGGACGTCTTGGAGGCCATCTTGGGCCATCTGGGCGGACTTGAAAGCTATCTTGAACCGTATTGGGAAATATGTTCTGGGAATTCCGGGCCTTGTGGGGACTTTCGGTTGGCCGGCGGGACGGGCCAAAGCCCCAGGGATAGTTCTTTTGGAAAGAAAGACCACAGGGGGCGGCGGATCTGGTGGCTTGAGGCCCATCCCGCCAACGTGCCTGGGTTGTGGGTTCGAGGCCTTGCGGATCGGATGTTCGTTGGGATATCGTGGGAGGCCTCTCGTGGGTCTCTTGGAGGCAGTTTTCAGGCCTCCTGAGGGCCATTCGGGGGCCCTTAGGGCATCTTCTTGGGCATCTCGGGGGCCTCGTGGGGCCCCTGGGGCGCCTCGTGGAGCCTCTTGGCGGCTCTTGGGGCCTCCTGGGGGCCTCTGCGGGCAGAACGCTTGATTTCTCGGGTCCTGTACCTTCTCGAGGGCCCCTCTTCTGGCTCTCTTGGGCCATCTTGGGGCCCTCTTGTGGGCCTCTTGGGCCGTCTTGGGGCGGTCATCGGGGCCCTGGGGCCATCTTGGAGCGTCGGAAGCCCGAACACGCGAGAAGGCGAAACACATTGAAACGCATATGGATAAACATGCGTTTTGCATTTTGCGGCCCTCTTGGAGGTTCTTTTGGGGAACTCTTAGGGCTTCTGTGGGGTCTCTGCGGCCGTTTTGGGGCCATCTGTGGCATCATTGGAGCGCGCTCGGGTCGTCTTAGAGGCCTCTCTGACCCTCGTTGGCCCTTCTTGAAGCCATCTTGGCCCGTTTTGGAGCCATCTGGTGAATAAGGCTTGATCAGCTATTGCGAGTGCTCAGTCGATCTAGCAGAGCGGCGCTCTGCTAATGAGAAGTGGAGCGGTGAACGCACACATGCTCGGAGGTCAATGAGCAGAGCGGTGCTCTGCTAATCAGAGCCCGGGCAGGATGGGGGACCTTGCTTCGAGGCCAATTAGCAGAGCAGCGCTCTGCGAATGAGGGGAGGAGCAGCGAGTGCGTTTGTTTTGAGGCAAGTCAGCAGAGCGCCTCTCTGCTAAGGCGAGCCCGAACAGACTGAAAGTGCATGACTGGGGCCCCTTCTTATAATCCAGGGTTCAGGGCAGAGAACGCATGAGAGCCTGGGGGGAACTCCACGTCGTGCATCGAGGCACGGTGGTGGATACTGACTCTGGTCGGTGCACCTTACGATCGGTGCCGAGAGAGTGAGAGAAAAAGTCAACAAAGGCAACAGAGAGAGAGAGAGAGAGAGAGCCAGAGGGACGGAGAGAGGGAGAAAGAAAGAGAGAGAGAGAGAGAGAATATGGGGGGGAAGGGACAGACCTTTCTCACGGTTTATTGCCGATTGTTTTGGAGATGGAGAGAGGGGGGTAATATCATTGTTTTCTCTTGAAGGGAAGATGAGGAAGGAGAGTGAACGAGGAACGAGGATGAGGAGGAGTCAGTTTGGGGTGTTTGAAGAAGGAGGACAGAAGCACGCGGGTTTTTTTTTGTTTGTTCTCTCTCTCTCTCTCGTTCTCCCGTGCCATCCTTCAGTCTATCCGTCCCTCTCACGCACGCTTTCTCTTGTTTCGCCCTTGTGACGGCCTTGCGGCCAGCGCCGCCGACCCTCAATGGAGGAGCCCAAGGTGTGTGGGAGGCAAGCACTCGGAGGGGAAAGCTTCTCCCAGAGAGGGGTGCTCCCCCACGGGGGGGGGGTCACAGCGCCCAGGACCCCGCTTCCCCCCACCATTCCCCCCCCTGGTGGGGAGGAGATCACAGGGCAAAGGGAATGAGCTACTCCTCGAATGGTTACGACTCTGCTTGGTTGTTGTTGGCTGGGACGTTTGACGAGGAGGGCCCACGGACAGGGACAGGGGGGAGCGGTGACGGCGACAACGACGACGACGACAACAGACTCAAACGGAAAGTCCTCTCACACACGCCGACAGGGTTGGTGGATGTCTGTCTAGCTCTCTCCTCCTCTCTCTCTCTCTGTGCTCCTCCCTCCGTCTCTCTCATGATAGGGCCCCTGTGGATGGGGGCTAGAATACATGAATAGTTAATGGGCGTTTATACACATGTGTTTATACCTCTTCCTCTACCTATGTGTGTTCCTAAACAGGGCGTTCCTACATAGAATGGGGGTTCCTACATAGAATAGGGTGTTCCTACATAGGGTGTTTCCTATATATTAATGGGCGTTCCTGCATGGAATGCATGTGCACGTGTTCCTCTGCCTATACGTTTATAAGCCCGGGCGTGGCCCCCCCAAAAAACAAAACTGACTCCCTCCTGACGGGCCCCGAAGCGGCCCTCCGGGCCTCGCAGGGCGTTTTGCCAAGCCCTTCCCAGCACACCTAGGGCGATCAGGGGGGTCATCGGAGACGTCCCAGAGACCCGCAAGACGGCACAAGAGCGCTCCAAGAGTGACCGACGTGACCTCAAGATGAGCCAAGAGGCCTCCAGCACGGCCCCAAAGGCTTGAAAAAGCCTCCAAGAGCACTCCCCAGAAGGCCCCAAGAGGCAAGACTCATAGATTTTCTGCTGGTTGGTTTGTGAATGTTGGGGTTCTCCTCTTTTTCGGCTTCCCGACGCTCCAATACAGCAGTCTTCTGGGCGTCCGAAGCCGCATGGGAGGGTCCAAGAGCGCCCCACAACCATCCGAAAGGGCTTCTAGGCAGTCCAAGAGAGCCCCAAAACGGCACAACAGGGGTCACATATGGCCCGAAGAGAGCCCCATGGTGGCCCAAGACGGCCTCCGAAGCATTCCAAATCATGAAGCGGTCGTTCAGGGATGCCACGGTTGGAGGCAGGATGGCCCGAGGACGCCCTCAGAACCTCCAGAACACGCCCAGGAGGCCTCCAGAAGGCCTCAAGAAAGCCTGAATCGTTTGTGAGGCCACCAGAGGCTCTCCAAGGAGGAGCCTGCGCAAAACGAGCTGAGGAGGATAATGCGCAGGGTACGGCGAGAATTAAGAGAACATCGGCATGGAGGAAGGATAACGAATAACAGATACTAGCGGCGATGCTGGAAAAGGTAACAATGAGTTGTCGCTAAATTGTCGGCTTGACCTTGCTGCTACCATGTCGATTGCGCACCGAACTTCAAGGACCAAGGCGCATGGCGCGACGCGCCACTGCAGTCGTGCATACATATATATCTATATATATATATATATATATGTATATGTGGGGGGGGGGGGCAGCCCCCCCCCCCCCCCCCAGCACTCATTATTACCAGCATTCACCTATTCGCGAAAAGACAAAGGGGGGGTTAGGCCCAGGGGGGGTTAACACCCCTGACGGACCAGCATGGAGGCGCGTATGTCATCAATGTTTCACGTGGGCGTTGGTAGCATATGCGTTCTATGATTCGCGCGCGAACTCGTGCGTTCGCTGCATGCATCGCGTGCCAATGTATGCAGCGAGCGCGCAAGTTAAACCGCCAACCCCCGCACAATTCAACTACAAACGACAGCTTGGAATCATAACGGCACAAGTGCGTCCACGTCGGGCCGTCAGATACAGCAATCGCGCAGGCCACTTGGATCTCGATTGGTAGGGGGGCCGAACAGAACGACGCCAAAAGGCCCCCAGCGTGCGTGGATCAATGACCGCAGGCCCAATCCTGGGGCTTCGATCAAAGAACAACCCAAGGATCTTGATCCGCGCACTTCGGGCTTGGAACAAGTTCCCAGGACTTGTAACTGGGTAAAGACCCTCAAATCGCCCCAAGACTGGTTCGGGCCCCTCTGCGAGCCCACCGAGATTTTCATGGAAGGGCGTTGGAATGCCTCGAGAGAACCCCTGGGACATGTCATCTAAGCGCGTTTTGAATACATGTCATGGGGCCCTCTTGGGTCATTCTCGGAGCCCGCTTGGAGCTCCCATTGGGGTTCTCTTGGGGTCTTCAGCACGCGGCATCGGCCCTCTTGGGCCCTCCAGCTCCGATGGAGTACAACCTTATTATGCCGCGGTATATGTTCGATATAGTCTCGCACGCCCCTTGCGACGGACTGCGTTCACGGACTATGCCTGGATCATGATCCTGGGCCCCAAACCAATCCGATGTTCTATGTGCTGTTCGGTTCCCCCTGGGGCTCTTTCGGAGCAGTCCCGATTCTTCCCAGGAAAGTCTCGGTCAGAGAGGCAGAGCCCAATCTTGGTGATTTCCCATGGGCCCCAACGACGGGGCCCGCCCCAAGAGGTCTCCAAGCGAGCTCCAAATGCCCCCCCCCCCCCCCCCTTAAAAAATGCTTCAAGAGGGCCCCAAGGGTGCTTAAACCATATAGATCTAAAATATATACGCGTTCGGTGCAGCGCTGGGTTTTTTGGGAGCCATATCGGCGCCACCTTGGAATCCTTTCGGGCCCCGCCGCTAGGGGGGGGGGGGGGGGGGGGGGGCATGTTGCAGCCCTCGCAGGGCTCCGAGAGGGCTCCAAGAGGGATCCAAGCGCGCACCTGAGAAGCCCGAAGAGGGCCCCAAGGGCCCCACACTATATAGACAAGTGCTGTATATGGTTTCGGTCCCGCGTTGGGCCCTCCTGGAATCCTCTCAGAGCCCCCCCCCCCCCCATCGGGGCCCTCTTCAAGCCCTCTTGGGCCCTTTCGAGGGCCCTTCGATTGTCTGGGTATCTTGCTAACTTCTGTCCGTCACCGTCCCTTTGCCATTTTTGCTCAAACTCGCATTTGCTCGGCCGTGCTCTTGGCGGATTGGGCACCTCGGCCAAACGCCCCTCCTAATCTTTGGCCTCGCGGTGGTGGCGGGCGAGGGCAAGTCCGCGACCCGTGGCGCCGCCTTCAGGAAGCTGTCCGCCGCCGAGCAGGCAGCGAAGCTCAGGGAGAGGGCCAGCGCGTCCCAGAACAAGGACACCATATCCAAGATAATCCAGCTGATGGACGACAAGCCCGAGCTGCTGGAGATCCTCAAACGGTCCATCGAGAGCGAGGGCATCGACTTCAAGGACGTGGTCGTGAAGAGCAAGAGGTCCGCCTCCAAGGAGCAGCTGGCGATGGAGCATGCTGCAAGCCCTGATGGCAAAGGGCCTGGTGGCGACGGTGACGCCGCGAGTGTGAAGGGCCCTCTGGCGACGGCCTTGCCAACGAGCCGGCACCGCCCATCGGCAGCTATCCACGACCCTGACCCGAAAAATTGGGCCCCACACAAGTACACGAGAATCGACAACTCCTCCGAGGCCTTCATCAAGGAGCTCCTCGAGTACGTCGAGCCAGTCACGTATAGTAAGGCCGCTTGCGGAGTGCTGAGGGGCAAGAAGGAGGACAAGATGACGACGCTGTGCGAACATTTCGAGTTCACCACGGGCGAGTCCTACAGCATTCAGCTGATTGGGAACATGCGGCACATTTCCCACGTTGAAGGCCCACCTGAAGCAGTGCAACTTGCAGAACGGCAGGCGCGCGAGGGACTTGGTCTTCCCTGCTGACTTCGACTCTGGCAAGATTGGGGTACACAGCCTCTCCGTTTAGAAATCTGCACTCGCCGTCACGGACAAGGCGAACGATAAGTACCACATCGTGCCTGCCAAAGACATGCTGACGTTCTCCGACGGGTCCTTGATCGATCTGGAGGGCTTGTCGCTGATCATGAACTACTCCACCAGCAAAGCAAAGATTGCGTCTACGCATACCTCGAGCACCGTGGACGTCAATAAGCTGGGCAACGTTGGCCGCTCAATCAAGAGCACCGGCGCCTCGGCCCCGCCTGCGAAGTCTAGGCGTACCGCGTCTCCGCCCAGTGCGCTTCCATTGGTGGCGCCGCCACCCAGCAGTGGAAGTGGAGAGATTGTAGCAATGGATCCCGAAGAAGAGTGCGTGCCGTTGCCATGCGCTGGAGCGGAATGCTCAACCGCGATAGCCTCGATCAGCAGCGCGTGCGAGGATGATGAAACTCCTTGCATCGTTGCTGATGGCCTCGAGTCGGAGCTGGAGACGGTGATGACTACTGGCGATGCGGCTTGATCGCGGAGTGAGCGGTGCCGAAGCAGCCCCGAAGCAACGCAGAGTTCGGAGCCTGTTTGATTTAAGCGCCGCACTCGCTGGGTAGGGTGACGGCAGACAGCTGCGGGTAGCCCGACGCCGTGCCCGAGTGTAAAGCGTTTGATGCGTTGCCCCGGTCAATTCCAAACGTGCAGGTTGGCGCCGCTTGCACGGGGTGTGCGATCAGCGCTCGCAGGGGCTGCGTGCACATTTATGTACATGTATGTACGTTTGTTCGCAGTAAGCAGATATCGTTGCGCACTGGAAAATCGTACAGACATCGATTGTACGATGATGGCGAGTAGGAGTCGGAGGAGTAGGGGATGAGGGAGCATGAGTAGGATGATGGGTAGGATGATGAGGGTAGGAGGGTGATGAGTAGGAGCATGATGAAGAGTAGCATGATGATGAGTTGGAGTAGGATATTGAGTACGAGGTAGGAGTAGGGGTTATGAGACAGAGAAGGGGGAAGAAATGAGGAGGATGCGCAGGGGGAGAATGATGCGGATGACCCCCTCCCCAGACATTCAAATTCCTCATCCTCCCTCTGCTCAGACGACTGTGTGGCGCCATCTTGTTATTCCCACCGTCCTTGTCTTCCACGCAAGCATCCTCCTGCGAACGATCGCTATCCTAGGCGTTCCTCATCCCCGTCCTCATCTCCATCGTCCTTCTCCTTGCGAATTCTCCGAGGGGCGAGTCGTTCGGCCCCCTCCCCCCTCCCCCTGGGATGGGCGTTCCCTGGACCTCCGAGGGTAGCGCCTCCGATCGAGGCGTTGCATGCCCTCTCGGCCTCAGGGAACATCCAGCCCAGGGGGGGGGGGGGGGGGGGGCGATCGACACACCAGCCTCGATGTTTCCGAGAAGTGAGTAGCCCAGTCCCCTACCCCCTCCCCCTGGGATGGGCGTTCCCTGGGCTTCCGAGGGTAACGTTTCCGATCGAGGCGTTGCATGACCTCTCGGCCGCAGGGGACATCCAACCCAGTGGGAGGGGGGAAGGGGCCGAACGACTCGCATCTCTCGACGCTGCCGCCGCCCCGAGTTGGATCGCGCGGCCATGGGGGGCAAGGGGGAGGAGGGGGATGATGAGAAGAGTAGGAGGAGGAGGCGGAGGAGGAACCGTGGCATCCGAGCTCCGCGAGGCGTCCGCAGGACGCAGTGGCGCCCAGTCTGTGGGGCACCCCCACTGTGCCCTCCGTGCTCCATTTATCCTTCTTCGTGCCTCCCGCCCTCCATTTATCCCCACCCCTGTGGGTTGCTGGGCGGATGGGGCCAGGGGGGCGATCCGTATTTCGAGGGGTCCAGCCGTGGCGACGAGAAGGTTCAGACCGAACCCGACGCGCGTCTGTTCACTGTTTTTCGTTTTACTACTCATCTTACTCCATCTCCTCACCTGCGCCCTTCCGGCCATCCTCTCCCAGTCGCTATCTCCATCACCCTGAGGGGGGGGCCTGGGGGGGGGGGGCCCTTTCAAGGGGGTGTGGATGAGAAAACCGATCGTTGAACGGGGGCCCAGCGCATCAGCCGATTGGGCGGGTGGGTGGGGAGGGGCCGGGGGGAATAAGGGCTATCCCCTCATGTTGGCGATGGTGCGTGCGATCCCCCGCTCCGTCACTCATATGTCCATCCTTCATCCTCCCCTCCTCCACCCGCTGCCGTTTTGGCTATTCCTCGCATTGGCGTGGGTGTATATATTGGCCCGTGCGGGGCCCAGGCCCCTGTCGGGGCCCGGGCCAGCGGCTCCTGCAGGGGCCATGGGGCCCCGTTACGTTGAGACGCACGTTATCGACACGAACGAGTTGTGGAAGGCCTGGTTCCACAGCGCGAAGCCTAACAACCCAACCGAGTATATCTCAGGATGGGAGCTGCGCCGGGCGCCGCAGATAGCTGGAGAAAAATTCCCCAGAGGTGTTGGCCAGTGGGTGAGGCACAACAGGATGAGGTTGGAGGGGTGCTTCCAAGTTTGTCGGGGACCTGAGCATTGGGGTTGGGACGGCATGGAGGGGCAGATCTTGCCGAACATCGACTCGTTCAAGACCAGGGGGCTGATCCCACCTCTTGAGGCCACGGAGGAATACCAGATCATTAAAGATGGAATGGCGGCTTTCCTCATCTCCTGCTGGCATGGAAAACGGAGCGACGAGGGGAGGTATAGGTGCAGATCTGCGTTCCTGAGCCTCCTCCAGAAGAACAGGGACCACGACGAGCTCCAGGACCTCTTGTCAACCTTCGTCATTCACATCGTCCCGCTGGCCCAGAGGACGTGGGACGCGGCATTTAAAACTTTGCGGTCGCGCGAGGGTGGTCCGCGACAGCGTTGAAGTCTCGAGGGCCCCCCTTCCCTCATCGTCCTCCTTCTCCTTCCCCCCCGTCCTCCTCCTCCTCTTCCCCTCCCTCCCCGCAGATGAGAGGATGCGCATTTTCGCCATTCGCTAGATGATAACATAAACATTTTCGGGCTTCGCCAGATGGCGTTTAGGGTAGAAACGTAAATCACCAGGGTGGCATCGCCCCACATCCTCCGTGTCTTTGGGGTGGCTACTCGTGGCTGCTCGTCACCATGATTTTTGGCCTGCTCCTGGGGTGGCGATTCGCGGCTGCTCGTCGCCCTCCCCTTTGCTCGTTGCTCGTGATTCCAGTGGTGCCCACCTGGTTGGTCATCTGGGCCCTCATAGACTTCTTGGAACCCAAGAGCCATGCTAGAAATAATCGTCGTTCAAGCCCTGCGTTCCAAGAGTTCCCCCCTCCTGGCATCGCCAAGTCATGCCCGTCGTTGGAGCCATCTGAGAGCCCTCGTGGGCCATATTAGGCGCCGTTTGAGGTTGTTGTTCATATTGGATCCCTCTTGGGCAATATTCTACACATCACGTTTAATACGGCGGGTCCAATCCGATGGAGGATTTCTCTACGCCCTCCATTTCATGCAATGGGCACGCACGCGCGTCGCAATCCTCGCATGCGCGTGCTCACAGGATGGCGTGCCCAATCAAGGCGAACGCAGACGATGAATTTGCTCGTGCTTGTCCTGCTACCTCGACTACGAGGCTGGCGACAACTACGTGGATTTTTATTTGGCGAAGCTGAAGGAAGCGTGGGCGAATCGCTTTTCGTGTCCAGCCATCGAACACATCGTCAAGGAGCAGGTTCCCAAGCTCTCGATCACCATCTCGACGATGATGACGACGGCAGGCCCCCAGAACCCCATGGACTTCCAGGCCAACGCCCTCGTGATGAGGACTGGTGCCGGCAGCGCGAAGAGGAGGCGCATCGACGAGGACTTGAAGCACCGCATCGTGCACAACTCGATGCAGGCAGGGACTGCCAGCACGCCGCAGATGATGGCTCGTGCCATGGGCGGGATGCACCAGACCACTCCAGGCAAGTGGTTTTCCACTCACATGGGCATCTACAAGAAGTCGCTGGAGATGTCGATGCAGAATGCGCAGCGCGTCTCGGTCTCGTACGACGCGAGCAGGGTAGGCATGCCAAAGGAGGAGACCCTTACGATCGCGGTGCTGGACTCCTTAAAGGACCGTGCTGGGTGGTTGCCTCCGCAGGCGTAGCTTCTTGTAAAACACCCCCCCGCATCCCCTTTCGGGCGTCCTCTCCTACACGTTCCCTATCATCCTCCGAACCATTTCAGCATATCCCTCAACGTCCTCCTCTCCCTCCCCTCTCTCTGTTCTTCCTCCCCTCCTCCTCCTCCTCCTCCTCCGTGTCCTCCGTTTCCTCCGCGCTTTGCCTATTCCTCCAAGCCTTCCCCTTCCTCCGTAGCCTCCTCCTCGACAGGGTGGGGATCTGGGGTCCGACCGAAGGCGAGGCGCATCATGTGCCAACCCATTCGTGCGTCGGCACATGCGCCCCCCGTTGCCCCCCCTGTTTCGCGTTGTGTTTTTTCGATGTTTTTTTCGTGCCTGTCATCGATGCACATGATGCACCAAAATTTGTGTCGGCTGCACATGATGCACCAAAATTGCCTCGGGGGGCACATGATGCGCTAAATTTGCCCGGGGGCGGCACGCGGTGCACCCGTGTCGCTCGGCGGCAGTCGGGTGGGGAGGGGGGGCAAAAAACCTTTGGATCCGGCACATGATGTGCCTGATGTGTCTCGTTTCGGCACGCGATGTGCCCCCATCCGCCCTCCCTGCCAAAGGGCGAATGCCGTGCGCAGCGGCCGGCTGGGGGATGGAGGAAAATGGGGCGAGGGAGAGGGGTGGGAGGTTGGGGTGCGGGAAGGAGGGGGGCCAGGCTAGGTTAGTAGAGTTAGTTTGCTTGTCCACAGGTGTTATCAGACTGGAGGGCGAGCGGGGTGGCCGTCGCTGGCGACGAAGAGGCCCAGCAGCAGCAGATTCGCAGCATCGACGACCACATCGACGCCTTCGATCGGAAATCCGCCAAGGCCCCTTGTGGCTCAGCTGGTGCCTTCTCCGACAAGTTCGTCAAGAAGGCTCCGAACCGCGAGATGGCGCACGCCCTCGACAGCGCTTTGGCAGGTTGCGGCTTGAACCTTCAGTACTTCATGCCAGACCAGCGCTTGGCCGCGCTCACCAGTCCACAGCAGTCGAGGTACCGCGCGCAGCCGCCCCAGGGTGACCTCGTTCCAGGATCCAGCAAGCACAGGATGATGATTTACGACAGTGCGAGCGGGACGTCGGTCATGGAGTTCCCTAGAGTCTGCATCGACG